CAGGCTGCGCTGTGGGGTGCTGGGGGTCCGGCCTGGCCTTGGTGTGGGGCCTAGACCCTACCTGCTGTGGGGCTGGGTGCTGTCCTGCTGCGGGGCCCGGCCCCCTGTGTGGCGTGGGGCTGGGGGTCAGGCCCTGCCGTGCTGCCTGGTGTGGGGTCTGGCCCCCTGTGTGGTGTGGGAGGGGGGTCCAGGCCCCCTGTATGGCGTGGGGCTGCGGGTCAGGCCCTGCAGTGCTGGCTGGGGTGGGTCCCGGCCCGCTGTGTGGCGTGGGGCTGGGGTCCAGGCCCTCTGTATGGTGTGGGGCTGGGGTCAGGTCCTGCCCTGCTACGTGGTGTGGGGCCTGGCCCCCTGTATGGTGTGGGGCTGGGGTCCGGGTCCCCTGTATGGTGTGGAGCTGGGGTGAGGCCCTGCCGCACTGCCTGGTGTGGGGCCCAGCCCCCTGTGTGGCGTGGGAGTAGGGCTCGGGTTTCCCGTGTAATGGAGTGTCTTTGGGAGCTGAGGCTGTGGGGAAATCACGTGGAGGCTGTGACATTTGTGAGGGAGACGCAGCTCTTTCTGTCTCTGAAATACAGATGTAGGTGAAAAACAAGGTTGTAGAATGAGTCACGGAGGTGTAGAAGTGGCAGGAACATGAAAAAGTCGTTTGTGTCCCGTCTCTCCCTGTAGGGCGGGAGCTGGCTTAGACCAGATATCAAACCTGTTCTTTAAAGTTCCTGGAATAAAGGTGAGAAAAAGGGAAAGTAGAAAGGAAAGAAATGTGGGAAGACCCTGCGGGATTTCCTCGCTGGGCTGCCGTTCCCTGCGCAGTGTTTGTGCTTCCTTGAACCTTGTGTGGAAGGAGCAGCCCTAGAGGAGGGTCTTAATTTGTGTTTTTATTATATGCGGCAGGACTAGTAAAATGGCCAAGCCTGTAGGCATCGGCCAGAAGTTTCCAAGACGATGGTTACTTCCTTGTCTCGATATTTACCCTCCCTTTTATTGAAGACACGGAGCCACTTCGTTTGCTCCCACAGCCTGAAACTTTCCATCTAAGCTGTTACTTCTTTCTGTGCACAAGAAATCTTGTCCACGCCTCGTGCAATTTTGCTGATATTGGTGCATTAGCCCAGGCAGGACCGGGCCCTTCACCATTGCTCTTCAAACGCCCCTCTGTGATTCCTCCCCCCCCCTTCCAACTAAAATCGTGACTATTGAGTATCGTCGTCTGTTGCTTTCCCCCCTGTCCATCTAATTCCTCTTCAGAGGCGAGAGCCCCGTGTCCCTCCGTATGTCGGGAGCAGCGCCCAGGAGGATGCTGAACGCAGGAGCTGAACGCGAGGAGATTTTCAATGGGAACCGAGCAGGCAGCTGAAAGCAAGTCTGAGAAATTAATTAATTAGGGT